GAAAGATTTAAACATTCCCGCTTCGCGGGAAGTTTAAAGTCTTTTTACCTTTAGCGTTTAAAATGGAATTTTTACTTCGTTATCGCAGGACGTACGAAAATTATACTCCTTCTCGTAAGCCGTTCGCTATCGTGTTATTTTGCTTGGAATCGGTACGATATCAGCAGCTGTTCACCATCGGCTGCCGTTTCGAGTGTTCGCTGACGTCACAGCGATACCGGAAATCTGATCGGTCGATCGACATAGTTGAGTTATCGACAGCGTGTAACGCTCGATTCCCTTCTCTCTGTTATCTCGGAGCAAGTCGATGGAATCGAGCGATCGATTCGGCCTTCTGGCGTTACACAAACACCACCGTACACCGGTGTTTCTGGCACGATACGCATCGTTGATATTAGCACGTACTCGCTCGGTTCGATCGCAATGCCCGACAAGAAGTTTGCGCACGATGACTCAGGCCGACTGGCTAAACTCGCTCATGATTCGCACGCCGTGGAATCGTTGTGCTCGTTAAGACACGCCGCGTTCACGATACACCGGTAAGCGCTTCTTGCGAAACACCGGCAAATTGATGCACGTTTAAAAAGCGTGACGCTGAATGCCGCTCGCACGACACCGTAATCGATAAAACGAGCACGTTTTTAATTCGCGTCGGCGTAAAAATAGTCGCCCGTCGCCAATAAACTATCTCGAGCGCGCGCGCGAGCCTTTCATCGCATAAATATTCACGTGAAATATACTTGCTAACCTCCTTGCCTTGGAATATCGAGTCGAACGGGAATAGGCAAAATTTTATTCAAATAAAATTGAATAATATTAGAAGAGGCACGGTATCTTTCGAAATTACTATTAACCGATAAAGAATAATCACCCGAATGATCAGCTTCCGCGTGAAATGACCCTTGCTCTCGAGGCTGTGTCCACTATAGCAGAGTCGTTTAAGCAATTCATTCCGGTGGACGTCATCTTGTATTTACTTAGAGACCCAGAGTATTTGCTGCAATCGAGGGTATAATGCGTTTCATTATAGTTTGTTTATATTTGGTTACCATTAAAGCCACATTTTCTAATGCTACGTTGCACCGTGTAATCGCGCGCGGTGCAATAAAGCCGATATTATTGTTATTACGACGTAAAGTAAAAAGTACGCTAGGCAGCGAACGGCTCGGCCAGGAAACTAAAGATTATAATATCATTAACTTACTTTCCATCCTTAGAAATCGACTGAAATTAAAACTACTATAATTTCATGAGAACCGTCGTCGGTACAAACGAATCGTCATTAATTGTTTTTCCAATCCTGCGATTGTCTTTCCGTCAATGTTTTCCCGTTAAAGTTTTAAAGTAAATTAGATCTTATAATCGAATTTTCGACAAAAGCTAGTCCATTATTCGCGAATACAATTTGTTCGAGTCTGATGGACGCTGGGCGAGATACGAGCCGAGAAACGTAACCGAGGAGATGAAGAAGATCAAGTTCTCGAGCGGTATTCTGTCGTGCGGTCTGTACGCGTATCAGCCATGATTGCGCGCGCGTTTTGTCTGCGCACAACGGCATTATACGCGCGCGTTTTGTACGCGTATATATCGCATTCCCGACAAAAGGTACAACGCGAGAGAAGGCTCGGACAAAAGCTCGTAAAACGCTCGTTAAAGGCGCGAGACACGCGCGGCACCCGCGGGACTAACAGAGAGGGGCCAAACGGGTGCCAACGGGGGCCAACGGGGGCTGGGGGGACCCGAATCCGAGCGATTGCGCGTAATCAAAAGCCAGAACACGGCATTCAGGCTCAATCAGAGACGACGACTGGCTGTTGCCATTGGTTCGTTGACTTTCTCTTCCTGAACTCTTAACCCGTCACGCTTAATCTGCTTTTTGTTCTTCGGTCTGCACGCCACGGACGTCGCTCGCGATTCACTCGTCCCCTGGAAACCGTATTACCAGCTGCCTCTCTTCTACCGTGCATTCTACATTTAGTTTTTCCTGCGCCGGAAGAATTCAATTCGAACATCTAATTCCTAATCGGCAGTTTGTTCTTTTTTTTTTCTATAATATTTCTTTACGTAAATACATGACACGATTTCGAGTTCGTAACACGTAATTGTCCAAAGATTTGCTAAACCGAACGTCCCTTCTTGCCGCGAGCAGGGACGCGCATAACGTTACATAAAACACCATGTCCAATCGTCTCTTTTTCTATTCGTCACAGTAGCGTTTCGATAAAGAGTTATTTTCCAAAGAAACTGCCCACCGCGGCGTTGAACTTGCGTTTGTCATAGTCTTCCAAGAATGTTGGAAATTTACTGTTTCGGGCTGGGTACGATGTTAGAAAAAAGTGTAGATATTCGTGCGTTACTGTTTGGGATTTGGTTCACTTTTTGCGCGAGGTATAGAAAAAAAAAGCAGAAGCTCGTCGAAAGTACGGTGATGTGTGGAATGGAAACGGACGCATCGAACGATGACGCGAGTAGCGGGGTAAACAGAACACGTGGGTTGACATTTACTCGCTCGGCTCGATTAGCATAGTAAACCTTCTCGGACGAGACTATAATTAGATCCGCGGTCTGTTCTCGACATGCCGCTTAAAGCTCCCTTCCTCTCTCCGTACGCACCGTTAAGTCTCCTCCGCTCGTTCCTCCCGTTCATCGTCGTCGATGGATTTTATCTGGTGACTCGGTACCTCGACCTTGACACGGTCCTCGCAAGGAAAAACACCGTACACGCGTGTCCCTTTTTCCTCGCGATCTCGTATGTCGAAACGTGCTAGGAATGGCGAGTCCATTCGAGGGAAAAAAATTCCTTTGCGTCATCGTTTTCCAAGCTCGCGAAACCCGGAAACTCTGATTAGGTCTGTGGGCTACTCCGATCGTTTCAACATTTTTATCCGAATAGCAATTCCGAAGAAAAAGTTTTAACCGCTCGGCGACAGACACACCATCGATCTCTGCCATAAACTTGGACATAATTTATCCTGTCCGGTATCGGCCGATAAGGTCGTATATGGAGATGCGTGCATTTATCCGTGACGAATTTCTTCGAGTTTTAGATAAAGGACCTTCCTGTACGTTCAGGGACGCGTGTAACCTCTGGAATCTGTTCTACGATAAAAGTCTGTAAATGTTTGTAACACCATTACAATCTTATGCACAACTTTTATCCGTAGACGTATTTACATATACGAGTACAGAAATAAATTACCCTATGGCGAGATACAAGAGGATAATTTTTAGGTTCGTTCGTTTCGATGATAATGTTCAATGATGAATGGCTTTTTACGATTACATCATTGGTGCTATAATTAATCACGATTAAGAATCGTTCGCGGTTTCTTCTCTTTAAGCTAGATATGCCGAAATCCCAAAATGTCTAAGAATCTTTTTTTAAGCCTGCCATTAGCTTAACGAGGTTATGAACCAATGAGTTACGCGACGAAACGTTCCATCGGTGAGTCACGACTCGCTGTTTGCGGTTCGTTTAACGTTGAAACATGTGGCTTGATAACCCGACGATGACTCGAGTTCTCTTGCTAGTCCGTGAAACAGGCTGTTGAGTCGGTAGACTATGGCCAGTGGGGATCAGTTTCATGGCAGAATCGTCTCTATTTCAATCTCCGTTCCTTTTAAGCACTTTGTCTAATTCCACGAGTGCTTGATTCTAATTTTCCCCCGATACAGTGTAATTTTTACTGTGTTTTTCGCGCGGCGTTCTCGGAACAAGTTTGCCGAGGCCCGGTACAGAAACAGATATATCATCTTTAATAAGAGCGCGAATCGTTGGAAACGATTGTTGCTCAACGCGAAACGAGGCCATTTGCAGGCACATCCGCGGTGGATAATGTAATCAAACGATTGGAATGCCAACGCCGACAACAGATTATCGAATTCCCTTAGAAGCGAGCAGCCTGCGATAACACCGATACCGAATACAACCGCCGACGCAATCGCGTTCCTGACAATCTGTTGCTGCGATAGACCCAGTTAACAGCTTTCGCGGTTCAAATGGTTACAGGCATCCGTGGAACGTACGTTGCCCATCGACGATTACTACTTCCGATGGATTCTTGCACAGTCTGACGGATACACGCGACTAAATCTCTCGAAACGGTTCTATAAAATATAATAAATGCAACGTTTCTTTTACTTAGATTCTGTCGATCGATTCGAAAAATAATCAAGTCCCAAAGGAGATGTTTCGTTTCTGCATACCGGGGATTAGAACGTCTGGACGATACACGTGGAAAGTCCCAGTCACGCAGACGGTTGTTATCGGTTTCGCAAGTTGTACATAATACGGATCCCGGTCGTATGGTACGCACATTCGTGCATACCAACGAGAGACGATAAGAAAGAAGACGGTCGTTGTAATCGCTCGGACGAACACATACGCTTGCCCGTGCTGTGTCGTTCGGTGCGTTTCGACAGACGCGAGTAAATCTAGAGCGTAAGATAGTTTTCGAATCTTTTGAAAGGGGGGAAAAGCAACCGTGAAACGAGACCGAAACCTCGTCCGTGGCTGCCGGCAGCGAGCCATTGCACTCGCTGCAGGAGGGTTAAAAATAAGCAGACCTTAAAATAAACACGTATTTTGCCGTCGAACCTCGCGAAATGTTCGCGTCAGCGGTACGGCGACGCGGTGCTTTCTCCATCGCTAGAATGCGTTTCCGTGCACAACGATGACAAGCCAAACGCGAAAATCAGATAGTTACTTAGATACTAAACTTAATTAAATTAGTGGGGGGAGGTACACACAAAAAATATTTCTTCTCCTCGCTTAAAGAGATACTGGCTTAAAGAGATTAAGAACTTTTTATCAAATTATTTTTATTTATCATCTATTACGGTCAAGGACAAAAAGACGACGACATCCTATCAATTTTTTAACTTTATTCATATGAAATATAGGTGTGTGCGTGCGTGTTATCTTGTTGTCCCTGGCTGTATTCGGCGCAACGAACGTTGCGTCAAACCGTAAAACCGATTGGCAGTATTTATCGAAGTAGGTGTCTTATGTTCCACAGAGAAACATGCAGTCGACCTCGATGACGTGGAACACGTTCATCCCCATGGCGCCGTCAGGTAGCAGGACGCACGCCGCGCCTCATTCGGGTATGACGGCGCACGTGGGCCATCATCATCCGGGGGCAGGGGTGGCGAGCGGGCATCCGGTGACCGTGGCGCAGCAACAGCAACGCGAAAGGGAAGAACGTGAACGCGAAGCCAGAGAAAGAGACTCGAGGGAGCAGAGACAGCGAGAAACCGAGAACATGGGGATGAGGGAACACCTGGTTTCGGCCGAAAGACTGCACAGACAGGTCGATGTCAGGGAACACGTTGTAGCTCAGCAGAGAGCTGCTTATTACGCAGCCACAGCACCTCCGACTCAGCAGGTGTGTACATACCCTCGCCTAAAACTCTTTAAATTCATTTATAGTATTTGAAAACCTACCCTATCCGATAAAACACGTTACGTTACACGTTCTATTATTCGCGTAGCGCGTTCCGAGTTGCGTGACCGCGGTAAAAACCGGAAGAAAGAGACGTGTTTGACCGCGACAAGAATGAACTGCAACTTTGTAGAATTTATTGGCTCGAAGGAACGAGCAGCGCGAATCGATTACGATTCGCCGTGTCGGCAAGCGGTATTTAATTAATACAAGTGGTTGTTTGTTTTAGGTGTCTCGGCCGTCGAGCGTACCTGGTAAAGTCGATTATCCACCTCCTCCGGCGCACTCGAGAACGTCAAAGTCGACGCTCCTGGTCGGCAGTCTTCACGAGAAACCGCCGTCGGTGGTGGGGCCGTCGCACAGCTCTCTGCCCAAGGTCGAGCCGAACGTGGGTCTGTTCAGTTACTCGTCGTATCAACCGCAGTCGTCGTACATGCACGACATAAAGGTGAAGAGCGACGTGGTGGGTCAACCGCCGCACAAGTCTTTGCAGAGCAAAAGCGGGTTGGCCGGGGGTCTCGAGAGGGATCATCACGGGAGGGAGGTTCTACAGAATCCCCCGTCGCTTCTTCAGGACCACAAGAGTTCGGTGATAGTGAAGAACGAGGGCCGGGAGTTGCCCAAGGTGCCGACGTCGCAGCAACACTCGTCCAGCCCAAAGATCATGCCCTATCTGAACGTCCAGTCGGTGGCGCCGCAACACAAGCCGTACGAGTACAGAAGCCCCACGCAGAGTCCGCACCACCACCACCACATGGACGCTGTTGGTCTACAGGCGGCCAAGAGCATACCTCAGGGTCACCACAGGACCGGTAGCGGGCCTACCACCGCGACGCAGTTGCCCAGCCCTCACGGGCACCCACCACCGCACTCGCACAATCGACAGTCGCCGCACGCTCAGCATCCTCATCAACCGCCGCATCCGTCGCCGCCCGAGCCGCGTTATCTCACCAGGCCGGAACCGGGATTACCTTACGCCACCGCCAAGTCCTCGTATCCGTATCCGCATTCTCATCCGCCCACGGCCTCGCCGACCTCGCATTACGCCGCGCCGCCGGGATCGAAACCGAAAGTCAGTAGTCCAGCGCCGCCTCACATATACGGCAAACCGAATTCCGGCATTATGACGGGCACGCCGGTCTGCAGAGCCTCGGAACCGGCCGTCGCCGCCCCGATCCCGCTCACCTCGAAACCCGGTAGCTCGCCTTACCAGCAAGTGCCTCATCATCACGGGGCGCCACCACCACCCCTGCCGCCGCCCGCTCACAGCAGATCCGTCTACGACCCCAGGGGTTTCACCGGGTCCATGCAAGCCGCCAAACTACCGCCGCCTCCTCTTCACGGTTCTCCGCCGACTGCTGCCTCGGCGCCTCTCTCCAGGCCCATCGCGCATCCTGCCCATCACACCAGTCCTCACCAGCAGCCCGGGCAAACGGTCCAGCACTCGCAACCTCAGATCAACACAGCCTTCCAGACGCAGCCGCTCGACCTCGGCGTCGAGAGGTCCGGCTCGCCGAAGAGAAAGGCGCCGACGCCGTTGATGACCGAGAGCAACCCGGGCCAACCGGTCTCCCTCGAAGTCTGCAAGAAACGCAGAACCGAGGAACCACAACCATTGTCCCTCCAATGCGGCGTCGGTCCCCCGGTTCTTTCCCGAGTCAGCGAGCCGAGTCCGCTGATCGCCTCGGCCGACACCTCGATCACCACAGTGGTCAATACGGCGGCCCTGCTGGCGCAACCCAACCTGACTCAAACGCAAGAGCGAACCGTCACCGCGGTCAGCCCGGCGCCTACCACGGCCAGTGGCGACGGTTCCGTCAGACCCCCTAGCACGGGCAGCGTCAGCTCCCTCAACCCAACGATCAGCGCTGCGCCTAGTCCAGCGCCTATACCTAGCCCCGCACCCTCCACCGCCCCGAGTCCAGCACCAAGTGCACCAGGCACCCCCGCCAAAGCCAACCCAACCGCTATGGATAGCGAGAAGTCCAACAGTCCAGCGCCCAGACCACCCAGCAGCACCAGCTATCCTGTTCACAAGTTGAAGAAGGCGTGGTTGCAGAGGCATTCCGGCGAAGACGGCACCGAGGACACCACCGGTGTCGTCGGCAGTGGTTCTTGCGTCACGTTGCCGCTCAATATCTCTCAAGCGCCCTCGCAACCGCTCAACAACAAAGAGCGCGACGCGTCGTCGAACAACGCCAACGCGACGACCACTTGTATGCCCAGCGCCGTCAATTCTATCCACAATATCGGTAGCATGGCGGTGAATAGCATTAACAAGAGCAAAGTGACCGCCAAGAGCGCCCGCAAAACGGCCAACAAGGAGTCCCTCAATGGACATGCTACCGACACGAAAAACTTACAAGAAGACTCGTCCAGCAGCGACCCGGAGAGGAAGTCGCCGCCAAAAAGGAAACCACCCAAGGTATCTATATGGATCGTAGATCGTATCCAGAGGGGGTTTCGTAACGTGTCCTCTATACACCCTTTCGCTAACGAATTGTCAAAATTATTTCTACGTTTGTTACGAAACACTCCCTGTGTCGCGATTTCCCAAGGTCGAATTCTTTAGATCTAGGAAATCTGTGATTTCACCGTTGCACGTGTTACGTTATTCCTGTTGCATGTGCAAATAGGTTGTTGATAGCCAGTTTCTGTGAATAGATCACGTTTTATGTGTACTGTATGTCGATTTGAAAAACAAGTGTAACCACACTTTGCAATTAAATGCATGCTCGTAAGAACATTTGTAGCTTAACCGTCCCAGTTTCGTGAGACAACCCTGTACAATTGTTCCAACTGTGTAGTAATATTTGAGTCGTTACAAACCAAAGCGTTACACAGGCCACTAGTCGCCATTGATATGTAACTTTTTATATTTAAAATACATTTATACAATAGCGATGCTTGACGTTATAAATTGATAAAGAGAAATTACAATTTTAAGACATTCAAGAATATTATTATAATACACAAACGATTTCTAACTAATACTAATAATAATAGTTAAACAAAGTTTTTATTACTAGTGAAATAATATAATAAATAACGTAGTGGAAAAAGAATATGGATACATACTGTGTAACGCGACATCTGTGATTTAAATATCACGACGACACACGCGACAATTTAACTTTTCGCGTTTACAAATATTACGGCATTAAAAGTCGTGACTTTATGTCGCGTAAAAATAAATCTCAAACGGTTGTACTTGAATACTGTTTACCAAAACTAGAAACAGTATTCGACGAATAGCAAAAAACTTCGGTATCGAATACCGAATTAGCCTTTGAAATTTTTGTTTAGAAATTTTTACAAGCTAATCAAAATTTAAAAATATACCTTCCAAAATAGGTAACAAGTTCAAAAGGATAACGGATCGATATCTCGTTGGATTTTCTGTTATTCGATTTCGTATTTGAATTTTCCGCTTCGGTCGACGCCATTTTGATAACACAAGCCACAAGTAGTAAGGCGGTTTCCCTGCAGTCTATCGGCATCGTTCGTTCGAATAAATTTATCGAGTTCAGTTGCAAATATATGTGCTTTATATATTCTCATGGATCATCTAAAAAGCGTGACTTTGCATGGATAAATATGGTAACACGCGAAACACTTTTAATTCAAGATATTTCTCTATCGCGAGGAAACATAACCTCTTTCTACCTCGACGCGAACAATGGAATCCGTTGATTCTTGTAACGACTATTTTCTCTTTGTTCGGCATCGTACAGTATTTTCAACTGTTAAACAATCGTATATTTATTAGAAACGAAAATATTTAATGGATGAAAATTTCTTTTTCACGCATGTACATTTATTCGACTTTCCGAACTTTTTTTCACTGCTGTTCAGTTTTATTTTTCGGTTTAAAATGCATGATTATATATTTATTATAAACACCGATCGAATTTTGAAGTCGCTTGTAGCGATAGGACACTGTAAACGATACATATCTACGACGGTATTAAAACAGAAGACATAAGTTGGGTAGTTTTTGGCAGTAGTTTCGGCAAGAGCATGAACTTCCTGACTACTTAATAATCTGTGCCCTGTGGTAGGTAAAACGAAAGAAGGGCGCTGCACGGAGGCAGCAAACTACCGCGGAAGATCAGCGGAGGCGAAAAGAAGACAAGCAAGGTGGAGTAGCTGGTGTTGCCAGCGAGTCTAGCAACGAGAGCGAAGCTGGTTCTGCTAGCGATACCAGCGAACAGTTGGGTTCCGTTCAACCTACGTCGAGGGTGCGACATACCACAGTCAATTCCAACAATTCCTCAGGAAACGGTTAGTTGACGTAGCTTCTTGTAAATGGACTTCCCATCAGGTGAACTAACTATTCGCTTGCAGGGTAAGTGGTCCGTGTTCCATGGTCGTACGCTTATTCCCTTTTCTAGAGCTGTACGAGAACCTGAACGATTCAGAAGTAAATTTTTAGAAAAATCACACTACCGTAAGCTTTTCTGAAACTGTTTTAGACTCTCTCCAACTTTCTGATACTCTTTAGATTCTCCAAGCTCTTGGAATCTTTGCAGTCTTGTCTCGCGCGCGCTTACCCTGTTTCTTTCAAATACATTTACTTAACCTTATTTAAATACAATCGTACAAATGATGATAAATCAAAATTGATGTCCATGAAAGATAATATCATGAGCTTTTTAACACTGAATTTATTATTTATATAAAGATCTTGGTCGATGTTCGTAAACGATGCTTAAATAGATCATGTCGTTTGTTCGATAGGAAATAATAAGGAACCCAGGAAACGAGGTAGAAGACCAAAGACTACGAAAGGTAATGAATTAGGAGGAGAAGATCAACAACCTCGTCAAAAAAAAGAACGTAGAGACGACAGTGCGAGCGGTGGTAACAGTGGGCCAGGTGGAAGCGGCGGAAGGGGAGATCCCTTTCGCAGACCTCCGATATCACAACTAAAGAAAACTGGTGATAGCTGGTTGCAAGACGGCGCTTGCTTCGAAGTCGCCGCAAAATTGGCTAAATGTCGTGAGTGCAGATGGACACCGCACCAGCGCTCCAAAAATCTTCCACAAAATATTTTCTGCAGATTTTATGCATTCCGTAGATTACGGTACACCAAAAATGGACAATTGGCTATAGCAGGATTCAGTGATCCGCACAAGGACGCGTCCGAGGTATCTTTGCAAGATCGCACTATTATTATAAACATTGAGGATCATTTTGCAAACGTGAGGCGAACAAACGTTGTCCTTTTGGTGTTACAGGTAGATCTTCGATTATGGTTACCGGGAAAAGACAGTTCGGATACGAAGAAAGATGAGAAATCTGACAAAAACGACAAAGAGAAAGGGGACAAGGAGGATCTAGACCTGGAGATGGCTCACAGATTACTTCGTCAAGTTGGTGATCAGTTTTGTGATCTCTTGCATCAAGAAAAGGATGCTCTTCAACAGCATAAGGCGGAAGGTAAATCTTTTGATTCAATGCCGAACAAATGTCACATAATCGTCGGGTTGGTCAAAATAATTTTTCATATCTCACGATACGGTGCAAAAATTCTTACGCATGTTTAATAATATTAATACTTGGAAAGAATAATCGAGAAACCCTGTTGCTACTACATCCGTGTACCATGTATCATAATATTATTATGTTGAGTAAACTCGAATCGGGATTTTTGTTCTACCGCATGTACCTCCTACACATTTATACAAATTGCTTTTTAAATTTCCTTTGATCGCATGATTTAACGCTTTGCGTATCGATTGTTTCTTCAACTTGACAGCGAATTCGGGACTTGTAGACGGAACGGTAGCTTGGAAACGAGTGGTGCAAGGCGTTCGAGAGATGTGCGACGTTTGCGAGACGACCCTTTTCAACTATCACTGGGCTTGCGGTAAATGCGGTTTCGTTGTGTGCATCGACTGTTACAAGGTAAGGACGTTTGTTATTCTCGCGTATCTATACATATTCTTTCGCGTTGCAATTAACAATACGTGATGACAAAAAATCTATTGAAAACCTTTGATATTTATTACAAATTATAGAGCTTTTTAACACTGAAATTACGGTCAATGTCATTCGCGAGAGATCTACGATTTTAAAAACGTACGAGTGACACGAAACATTTTACGAACTATTAATAGGGACGCAAGAATGGAACGATCAAAATTTGGGGCGAAAGTGGAAAGGACAGGGACGACTTCTCGTGGCTATTGTGCACCAACAGACAAGTACATGAACCCGAACGACTGATGCTCACTCAAATTATCGCCGGTGATAGTTTGATACGTCTCGGACAGCGACTTCACGAATGTCGAGCAGAATGGGGAATACCCCAACACTGCGGTTGCTCGCTCGTCGTTCAAACTTCTGCCAACGAGTTTCTCCGAAACATGATAAAAGGTGATACGATGCCGGTTTTAAACGGGAACGTGAAGCAGGAGATCAAGGAAGAGAAAAAGGTGAACGAGTCGAACGGATCGTCCGAGAATAAAACCAACGAAGAGGATAAGAATTCTCCGTTAAATTGGCTGGCGGATGTAGCGTTGCAGAACCAGGATAAAAACGAGAGCGCTTCTAGCTCGGATTCCGACGAAGATCGGGATGGCAATTATTCGACGTTACGAGAATTGCTTATTCGACCGTCTCACAAATCGAACGGCAACGGGTCTAGATCGAACTCGCCGACGAACAATTCCGGGAGCGTTAACGTCACGTCCGGAAACAACGCGACGAACAACGTTACAAAGTCCGGCAAGAAATCGAAAATGGATACGCTAGACGAGGTGATATCCAGCGTGATAGAACACAGTGTGAAAAAGGAGAGGGAAGGTGGACTGGACGACGAGAAGCCGAGGGAGCTTAAGCATTTTGTGAGAAGGTATAAGTGGACGCAGAAGGGAAGGGAACCGTTGCCTATCAGGATCATGACGCTCACCGAAAGCAAGAGTCTCTACCCGGATGTGCCGCACTCGTGGCTGTGCGACGGTAAATTGCTCAGGTTAAACGATCCGAATAATCCCAACAACTATAGAATATTTCAAGATCAATGGAAACGCGGACAACCAGTCATCGTGTCGGATGTTTCGAAATCATTGGACATGGATCTCTGGCATCCGGACTCGTTCGCCAGGGACTTCGGTGACGAAAAGAACGATCTTATTAACTGTATGACCGGGAATTTGGTGCCGAATCAACCGATGCGTAAATTCTGGGAAGGATTCGAACATTTCTCCAAGAGATTAAAGGACGAGAGGGGGAATCCGATGTTGTTAAAATTGAAAGATTGGCCGCCTGGCGAGGATTTTGCGGAATTGTTGCCGTCGAGGTTCGCCGATTTGATGAAAGTTTTGCCGTTGTCGGAGTACACCCATCGAAACGGACGTTTGAATCTAGCTAGTCGTTTGCCCGACTGCTTCGTCAGACCGGATCTGGGGCCCAAGATGTACAACGCTTACGGTTCGGCGCTCCATCCGAACAAGGGCACAACTAATCTTCACCTGGATATTTCCGATGCCGTTAATGTGATGGTTTACGTTGGAATTCCAAAGGACACCGACAACGACGAACACGTGAAAGGTATGCACGATTATTTGACAGAGTGTACAAAATAGATGTTCGTAATCGATAAAGAGTTGTTAATAGGAAAACTTTGGTCGTTGCAGAAGCACTGAGGGCGATAGACGAAGCAGGCTGTGATATCCTGACGCGGCGACGTGTTCGCGAACGCGGAGAAGCACCCGGTGCATTATGGCACATCTATGCAGCCCGAGACGCGGACAAGATTCGAGATTTGTTGAATGCGGTATCTTTGGAACGTGGCGCGCGTTTGGAGCCGCATCACGATCCTATCCACGATCAGAGCTGCTATCTCGACGGACCACTAAGAGAACGCTTGTACCGCGAATACGGTGTCGAAGGGTAAATATTGTTTCGTCGATCGATTATTCATTTTGTCTTTGTTATATAGTTGATGCGCATATAACAATGTCTTTTTTTGTATTGCAGATACGCTATCGTGCAGTGTCTAGGCGATGCGGTATTCGTGCCAGCTGGTGCGCCGCATCAAGTCCGTAATCTCCACAATTGTATAAAAGTAGCAGAGGATTTTGTATCGCCGGAAAATGTTTCGCATTGCTTCCATCTTACGCAAGAGTTTCGTGCATTATCCGACACGCACACCAATCACGAGGACAAGCTTCAAATAAAGAATATAATCTACCATGCCGTGAAAGATTCCCTGACCGTGCTGGCGAACGTCAAGGAAGAAACTCTTGCCAAACCGAAGACCAACAACGAAATAAAGAAGGAAGAGACGTAGCCCTAGGCCCCCTGTCGCGGTCGCAAGAACCGTTGTTGATCCGTTGTTCGACTAAAATCTCGCTCTAACCAGCGAGTGCAACCTGTTGCCGCTCCTCCGTGCTCTCCCGAACGGCGCGGTGTACACGCTAATCAGACCGGGATGACGGGAGGATCTAAGGATAATTTAAGATACTCCGGAAGTCTGTACCGAGAGGCGCAAGAATTTGTTGTGGTATTTGACGAGTAACTCAAAAGTTTAATTTTCGGTATTGGCTGAGCCAATGGAGAGAGAGAGAGAGAGAGAGAGAGAGATTATTCGTTGTATCATTTGAATTTCCTTTTTACATCCTTTTTCGAATAAACGTGTGATAGTGGACATGAAGTCCCCGCGAGTATTTTCATTGAAGCATGGAGCCGGTGACATGAGAACGCACCGCGGCGTCTATTTACCATTGTGATACCAGAAGGAGGACTTTTGATCATACATTATTTGTAATTACTTATATCGTGCCTGTATTCAATACATACTGTCTATATTGTATAAATGTAGATAATCGATCTTACTGTGTAATGAATTCTTACTATAGTAACTACGAGAAGATTGTCTAGAGGTACCTTTGTGCAATTAGATGTCGATTAAAAAATTGTTAGCTGGATCAGTGATAATCGTCGATCCCGTTACCGTGCTCTCGTGATCTGGTGCTTTTGGTATCGAATTATAAAGGCAAAAGAGGAAGCAACAAGCGCTTTGCCAAATGGCCGATATATGTTTCTCGCTAGATTCTTGTGTTCCTCGCGATAAGAACGCAAGAGTGAAAACACTGCCTAACCCGTTGTTCGCGTCAGTCCAGTCAACGGATAAGGGAATCTCTCGAAGCCCTGCGCGTCGAGTACATTAACGTGTATAATATCCTTGCAGTTCAGCTTTCTCGGGGATATACGTATATAGGGATTTCGGTTTGTCTTTCTTCTTTGAAAAATATATCGGCTATACCGAGCAAAGTCTATTCGAAAGGTTTGTATAACTGTCGTTTATAACAGAGGCATCAGAACAAAAATAACAAACAGCAAAACAAGGTTAAAAGTCTGTCGATACATTGTCTTCGAGACATTCAAGATCGATCGAAATTCTTTGGCTTTGTGTAATTTATTGTTTTTATAGATTGGATTGACGTTGTGGCCCAGTGATGACCCAGTAATAAGGGGTGAGAGAAAAAGAAACAGAAAAATAAAAACGTGGGGAAAAAATCTGTTATTTTTGTCATGTCACGGAAATAAAGAACCGTCTATCCGAATAGAACAGCGATATTCTAATTGTATTATAATTAATAACTAATAACTATGGTAGCATTATTTAACGCGAGGTGTAAAGGAGTAACGATTTTCGAAGTGCCAATGTTTTGAACGACGTGAACATTCTCGCGTGTTTGCACGTTGTGTGTGTCGTACGCGTAGGTAGCAAAAAGAATGGAAACGGAAATGATGGAATAAATAACGTAGACGGACAGACAGAGATTAGTCATGCAGAATCCACAGACGAGAGACCGAGTTCCTATCATTCAACTTTTTCCATAGAACGACGAATCGGTGTTATTCACGATACACGCCGCCGTGTCGCGACGTCTGAATTCAAAAGCCATCGCCGACCACGTCGATATTGAGTTTCCTTATTACGTATTTCTAAACTCGCTAAGCACGAGTATACAAATGTCACTGTTCGACCCGAATTTTGATATTGCAATATCCACCGGATGATCCTTGCAAGTAGATCCTTACCATGAAATTTGGAAATTTTTACAAGTTCCTCGTCCAGTATGAATTAACTACACAGTGTCGAATTTCATAACCATTTCTAAAGAGAAAATCACACGCAAGAAGCGGAGAAACGGTTTGTAGTTCAGTCAGGTTGAAAAAATGTCGATCTAGAACGTGTGTGTTTAATTTTGTTCATATATTACCCAATTTTGCGGATTGTCGGATTCTGTAAGAATCTCCTGGTGGATGTAGCAGGAAACAAAATTTACATTCGTTGGGTGGCGTATAATTGCTATAGATTCACAGTTCGGCCGTTTCAATGATTTTTGTAAAGAAAAGGTTCGGAAGGCAGCGGCTTTCGAGGACAGAGATTCATCGAATTTAGCATGACGCGCGCGCGCGTCGTTGGTGCGCTTATCGATCGTTCGAATGTTCACTATGGCTGGTAATCTCGAGACCGACGTTATAAAATAAGACAAAGAAGAAGAAAACCGAAGAACAAATCACTGGAATCCTGGAACCCGCAATTTCTTTGATCTCAACATTCGTCTAGCATACAACGACTTGATTAAATAATATTTAACGAGTAAATTTTTAAATATCTTAGTGTCGATAAGAGTAACGTTAATATTACGGGAATAATAAGTAACAAACAGCAAGGAAAAGGATAAAGTACCCCCCTTATTGATTCACGAGTGACGACGATGATGATGATGATGTATAAAGTTATAGAGAAGAAAGAAAAAAAGCATACTCTGTGTATTATTGCTGCAGACAAAGCTATTATTTGTTCTCCCCGCTACGTGTATGTAAATACATTTATATGCAGGTTGGTTCACCTAAACCTACCATTTAAATTACTTAAAAATCGTTCGTTGTGTACGAAAATGTTTCGAATAAGAGTTACGGGGTATAAAGTGGAACATACAATGCTATGATTAGTTTATTCTACTAAGTAGTTACTACTTAGTTCGTATTACAGTCTCGTTAGAAAAGCAAAGGGGACAAAATTAATCGTAGGTAATGTATTCTCCACTTTATACCTCGCAACATTTGTCCGAAACATTCTTTTATATAATAAACGATTATTAAGCAATGTAAGTGTCAGGTTTGGGTGAACTACTCTGTATACAATATATGTATACATATATACATATATAAATACGAAGAAATATAGGATTAAGGGATACACACTCCACGAACATGGACAAACAAAAAAAGAATACACTTTACACGCGTAGATAGATAGTTTATTATACCATTATTAATTATTATTAATTATTATCATTATTACGATTAATTATTACGGAAGAGTACCGATATTTAAATGTTGCTGAACTACGCGGCGAAAAGAAATACGATTACGAACAAGCGTTGTGTAGTGTAAATGAGAGAGTGTGTTTAAAAACGATTGGCTGTCTGTTGCGTTTGTGTGAACGCGCGTGTCTGTGTTGTTTTTTTGAGCGAACTTCCGGAAGTATGCGCGAGAGAATAAGGGGCCGTGTATTGGGGGCGGAGTGGAATGGATGACGAGACAAATTGTACAGCCCTTAGCTCCTATCGAAACCTATCCACCCCCAAAAAGTCCCCCACCACCACCGGCCGCCCCCAGTCATAGCAATTATGAACCGCGGGCCGGCAGGTCTGAGTATAATTTTTTGTACTGTGTAAATGTAAGAACATACGTTTGAATAAGAAAAATGTTTATATTACAAAAAAAAGTTTATCTTTCATTATCCAAATCCTCTAACAGATATACGCGCCCAGAAGCATTCCTCATGCATTCCATTTCACGGGAAAAAGATACAACCACACCTCCTTCGTAACAAGTTTCTTGTTGACGAGAGTCTACAACGGTGATATACCTTTTTTCTTCATCAATCACCACGGCCTTCGACAAAATACAGAATAGACATTTTATCATATACGAATAGAAATCTTTGCCGTTTGCAAAGTCCTGAAACTCAGAACTTTGCTAAAAATTCAGGGTTACCAAGAATTTTCGCCGTTTCCAAGAAATTCCAGGACTTCCCAGTTGTTTCAGGACTTTCCAACTGGTTCGGGATTTCCAAAATTAAAAGTCGTTTCAGGACTTTCCAGCTGTTTCAGGGCTTTCCAGCTGTTTCAGGATTTCCCAAATTAAAAGTCGTTTCAGGACTTTCCAGCTGATTCGGGATTTCCAAAATTAAAAGTCGTTTCAGGACTTTCCAGCTGTTTCAGGACTTTCCAAGCTGTTTCAGGGCTTTCCAGCTGTTTCAGGATTTCCCAAATTAAAAGCCGTTTCAGGACTTTCCAGCTGATTCGGGATTTCCAAAATTAAAAGTCGTTTCAGGACTTTCCAGCTGATTCGGGATTTTCAAAATTAAAAGTCGTTTCAGGACTTTCCAGTTGTTCCAGGACTTTCCAGCTGTTTCAGGACTTTCCAATTGTTTCAGGACTTTTAATTTTTGATTTTGGCAGCAAGTACGAGAGCTGGACACTTTGGGAATCCAATTTTAACCGGGAAAACGGTCTCTTAAAACTAAGGCAATGATTTGGAGAGGAAAAGAAAGGTAAAAATGATGAGAACACATAGAATTCTGTTGAATTATATCATTTATTGCCATAGATTTACATTATACAAGCCTTGAATACTTATACATCATGTCAGAAGTTGATAACAAAGGTCAGCAGTGGTCAGCAGTGGTCAGCAGTGGTCGGCAGGGGCCAACAGAGACCAGCAGTAACAAGTAGTAATAGTTATACGTTGTCAGAAGCATCAGGGGTGGTCGGCAGAGGCCAGCGGAGGCTAGCCGTGAACAGCAGAGTCCAGCAGTGGCAAGCAGTAGCCAGTCGTAATCGTTATACGTTGTCAGAAATACCAGGAAAGGTCAGCAGAGTCCAGCGAAGGTTGGCAGAAGCCATTAGTAATCGTTGTGCGTTGTCAGAAATATAAGCGGTGGTCAGCAGAGGCCAGCAGAGGCAGGGAGAGGCTAGCAGTAGCCAGTCGTAGTCGTTATACGTTGCACGAAGTACCAGGAGTGGTCAGCAGGGGTCAGCAGGGGACAGCAGGGGCAAGCAGTAACAAGTAGTAATCGTTATACGTTGTCGGAAGCATCAGTGCCATCAGTGGTGGTCAGCAGTGGTCAGCGGAGGCCAGTGGAGGCCAGCAGTAGCAAGCAGTGGCAAGCAGAGACCAGCAGGGGCAACTAATAGCAAGTTGTAATCGTCATACGTTGTCCGAAGTATGAGGAATGGTCAGCAGCGGTCAGGAAAGGCCGGCGGAGGCAGGTAGAATTCAGTAGTAATCGTTATACGTCGTCAGAAATATAAGCGGAGGTCAGGAGAGGCCAACAGAGGCTGGGCAGTCGAGATTTGGAATCGTATGCCGTCGACGTGAGGTCGAATTTTAGTTGTTCAAGTGCGAGAAGGCAAATGAGCCTTCCTCTCTCGACTCCCGCGAGACGGTCCGAAATTACTTCGGTCAGCTTCGGAGTATCGAGAAAGGGGGCATGTGTCAGTTTGCCTTTGTCGACACTCCGAAACTCCACGAGCTCACGTACGCGTGATCTGGCATAGTGTGAGTAGTGCACCCGGTGCTCAATCTAGCATCACTGATAAGGGGCAGTTTTCTCTGGGCACCGGTCTGTTGTCTGGTAGCGCATATGATGTATAAGAATACGGTTTTCTTAACGCGTTATACAAGTTTAAACTACAAATTGTAATTGTACCACGGTACGTCTCAATTCGTATAACGTAGAAAAGGTAAATTTCATGGGAATCAAAGTATTGTATGTCTAAACGTAAGTGCGTTGTGTAAAAAATGAGGTTATGTAAAATATTAAACATTAATATTGCAAGGGATACTAACAGTGTCGATTATTGATACGTAGCATGGCGTGGTTCGGAAATGTGATACGCACAACAATCAATGCATGGACTCCACAAGTAACATCTGTACGATTTCGCTATCATGCGGACAAGTTTAAAAAAGGCCCTCTGGTACGACGTTATGGTTATGTAGATCCTATTGATACGAGAGGTCTTTTGCCTCGTAACAGCGATGCAAAGCTTCCTATGCCAATATATAGGCCAACGAATGCGTGGAATGAAAAGAAAGCATTGTTTGGTCAAAATGATTACATAGACATTTTAGGTTCTGATAATCTTCATCCGACCAAAATTTTATACAATGTACCTTCTTGGTTAAGAGGCGTAAAAGGCAACGAATTTATAGTATTACTTAGGAAGCGTAAAATGTTGCAACACGGTGTATACCCGATAGCGAGACCAACGAAATGGAAGGAATTGCATAAAAGAATAAAATATCTTTACAGGTTTTTAAATCAGAAAACCAAAACAGGCAAAAGCAGTACATAATAATGTATATCTACTTGTGTAATAAAATGTGAAATTAATTTCTATACATTTTTATTTCTATGCCCCTAAAATTCCTGAGCACAGCTAATAAATGCTAACAAAATATTAAATAATAAATTTATTTATCTACGAGTAGTCGTCGATCGGATGTATAATTTATTTATAGTGGTAAAATAGTGTAAATACTTTTTATTAATATTTATTGTAAAAACGTGAATGATTGCTCGCGCGTATGTACATAGTCAAACGTAAAATGGTGACAGCCACAAGTATATTTCTAATAAAGACTATGAATGTGTTGTAAGTACAATTAAAGGGCAATCCTGAAATTATTTATGCAAATCTAATGACGCGTATGTATATATGTACAAAGGAGTTACGAGTATTGTCCATTTTCTTAAAAAAGTAACAATTAACCTTATTATAGTAAAGATCTATGGTAGCTCATTAAACAAGGCTGCGTATTGTGTTATCGGTAAGTTTCACGATGGTTACGTACCATGGTATATAGCACTTGAATTAGATGCACGTTTACATACATATGTATATGCATATAAATTTGTTGCATTATTTTTTAGTTCCATTGGCGGACAAAGGTCTTTTCGTTTACACTCGGAACTCGTTGTCACTTTTGTTGAAAAATCGTAACATCGTTTACTTTTAATTCCGGTTTATACAAAGCCCAAGGTAAACATTGCGTGTTAGGCAATACCATCGCGAACTCAAGGATACAACGAACAATTTTTAATTTCTTTCATGTATATACATAAAGTAATGGCAGTCACTTAAACTGTTAAAATCTTGTTTTAACCAACGTTTCACCGCCGAAACTGTGTATAGTTGAGAAAAAAAAAAAAAATAAAAATAATTCACAAATGATTCTGTAAGAACGATAATAGCGTAGTTTCGTAATGTTTACTAGCATCTAAACTTCTAAGACTGTGTCTTTCGTTGGGGTAAACTTGCAGCTCGTATGGTTTCCCAGACTTTACAAGGGCGTTAATCAACTGACTTGTATGGAAAAAGTGTACATTTTCGTCTATGAGTCCGTGAATGATCAATAATCTGTTTTCTTCGTCGGGGAATTTATCCACGTACGTTAAAATCGAACCAGTTATATAACCAGGAGGATTATTTTGAGGCAGATCCATGTAACGTTCGGTATATCCGGTATCGTAAAAATTCCAAGACGTGACTGGTGCACCGGCGATAGCCAGCTGAAAATTTTTGTTCAAAGCGTTAAAGAAATATGATCGCGAGCATATTAATAACTTGGAGAACATAAACAAAAAAAAAAACAGAAAAAAATAATACCTTGAACACTTCAGGATATTGTATCAGACCCATAAGGCTCAAATATCCTCCGTAAGACCAGCCGTGTAAGGCTACGCGATTTAGGTCAATGTAACCGGTAGTTTCCGCTAACCACTTCAATACTTCGACTTGATCGTTTAATTCGACGGTGCCCATTCTGTGTTGCAAATGGCTTTCGAATATTAAACCTCTATGGTGCGAACCACGAGAATCGATTAATACTACGCAATAATCTTGGGCAGCTAACATGTGCATTCTCAAATGCCTCATTCCCTACATAAAATATGTATGCGAATAAATTACGTTAAAATAGGTTAGGATCTTTATCTGTTGCATCTTTGCAAACACTTACTTTAAACGTATTCGATACTAGTTGTACTTCAGGACCACCGTAAACGTTTAATATCGTAGGATATTTGACACCGGGTTGAAAATTATGTGGTTTAAATATCATTGAATAAATTGAATCGCCGGACGATATTTTATGCGTATAAATCTCTGGAGCAAATAATTCCGATTCAGGCGTCGATGGTTCCAATAAATAACCTACGGGAGTTAAAGAAATACTTTCCACTGTCCAATCGGTTAGCGATATTTTAAATACCTAGAAAAAAGGATTGTCAGAAATATTGTTCCAACTTGCACTTTTATAAAGGAATCATACTTGACAAGTGGGTAGTGTTTTGATGGAGCTGTAAACGGTCACTAGCATTGTGCATTCCTTATTAAAATATATATTGTTGTAACTGTAACCCGGCCTTGTGAGCAACCTTATCTCAAGCGGTCGACGAAGGGACACGGCATAAACATGTTGCTCTAACGGACCCTCGCGTAATCCACAAAAATAGACGATAGAGTTGGTTTCGTCCACCCACAATTTTTTACCTAACACTTCCCAATCTCCTTGGGTTAAAGCAACTTTAGAAGTGACTCTAGGTTGCAAAAAAATGCTATCCATTCTATCCAAAGGTTCTTCCGCTTCGTTGGTTAAACCTACTAACAAAATACAAGAAAAGGGTTGTCGATCGAAAAGCGAATACGTTGCTCCCGAAGTATATTCGTTATTGCTTCACCTGCTATACTAGACGTTATGAGATATAGGTGTCTAAAGTCAGATTCCTCGCTACCCCAAAGGAACTTTACTTCCGTTGAATCGTCGGATGGTAAAAAATAGAGGAGATCGTTAATATTGATCCAGATCGAACTCTGCTCGGAATATATGACTTGAACGCTCGCCGATGACGGCGTAAAGTGATTTTCGGAATTATACATGTTTGGGGGTGGCTCGCAAAAATTATCTATCGATAATAAAACCAACTCAAGCTTTTGCTGTTTTCTATCCAACAGCTGGACCCAGACACTATATGTATACATAAACATTACGGAAATGATAATTGTAACGAGGGTAAGCGAATGCGAAACATTTCTTTCTAACTTACTATTGCGCATCGGGCGTCCACCCCACTCTCACCATGTATTCCATCCATGGAAACAAAATGTGCAACGGATATTGTAGCTCCAGTATTTCAGTGTCAACGATTTGTAACGTTTCCGTCAACCGGAACTGCACCATTTTAATATTACTCCTGGCATTGGATGTACCGGCTCTAGGAAACCTAAATTCGTCTATTTCCTCGGAATTTGACGTAGAAGGAAAGCAAAATATTTTTACATCGCTTTCGTCAACTTCTTCGTACACTATTCTATAAACACCGTCGTTGGATTTTGGCTGCCACCAATAACCAATATACCTAAATAAACAACGGCATTTTTACTTTGAGAATATGAATATGGTATTACTGTACTACACACCTAGTGAATTCTTCTTGCATTACATAAGAAGGAGTTCCGGCGGTAAGAGGATCGTCCGCTAAGTTTCGCCCACCCTTTCTCGAATGGGTTAATCTTAGCGAAGAACCGGTGATACTATGGGACAGGTATAGATCCCCCGAACACGTATGAGCAATTAACGCATTATTCCATGGACAAATTTGTGGGCATAATTTTGCGCCTGACGTTGACATGCGAATCTCGGATGGAAAAAGAGGTCCTGCCTGGTACACGAATATTTTTATTTCTTACTGTTTTTCAATTCGCGATTAAAGCAAACAATGTCCAAAATATACCATAAATCCTGTGTCTATACATTGATAAAGACTGCTCGCAGCTGGGAAAACTAATTTTCCACTGTCCGGATGAATTTCATAGCTAGTGATGCCCCATGTCGCTAATCTTTTCCTTTCCCACAGCAGTTGTTCTTCTCTGGACAATCTTTTGGTGCTCGATACTCTGTGAGCCGACAAAACAACATGGCAGAATTTCAAAAGAGTTTAAAAGAAATTTGTTATAAGAAAGATTATGGTACGTTTGAAAATTTGCTTCTATCACAGGTTGCCAGTGAAGACGATATCCGTTGGCATGATCGGAATGCGCAATGTCCACGTACAATAGAGTAGTCTCCCATCCGTTGCTTGGACTACAGAGGAAATATATCCTGGTCCTGAAAGATTTAGGATAATTGAAATGTCCGTTCTATAGACGGTATTGTTAAATGATCTCAACGAAACCGTACGTATAACGATAAAGTATGTAAATAACGTTAGATCGAAGAGGTTAGGTCTGAATTTCAAAAATGTTTCTTACCGTCCATCGGGTAAGGATCGAAACGTTATGGATCCAGGCACAGAGCCGGTCGATACCCCGAACAATTTTCTGCGTAGATCGCTAACAACGCCTCTCAGTTCGGGCCAACTTTTTCGCATTACCGTGGTGACAGACGGAGTCCGGTTGCCCCCTTCGTTACAAGTTTCCATATTTTTCCCGTTGCTTGCTCCGTTCCCGACAAGTCATTCATTAAAAAGGCAACACTTGGGTACGATCATGTCAGACGATTTCCTAAAAGCGGCAGAACATCGCTGTAAATCGGTACGAAGTGTACGATCAGCCGCGTATACAGCTTATTTTTAGGTTATGTCCGCGGACGGTTCTCACTTTCACCTACTCCCCGGACTGTCAGCCTCTCCCTTCTCTCGTCGACCCACGACATTAATTTCGCGAAATCGCTAGCGCAAGCCTCCCGGATCTCTTTTAGGCAAAGCGATTGGCAAAAGTTCTGTGCAAGCTGTCACAAGCTGATCAACGTGACAACTCCGTCTCCTGTTAGTCGTCGGAAGTCGACTCCCATTGTCCCGAACAAGTAAACACGCGAGGTCAGATAAATACGGTGGTATGTTGCTTCTCTAGTACGGGGTAGATAACGTGCTGTCTTCTTTTCCCCTCTTTTTACCCAACGACAAGTCCGGGCTTGCGTTACCTTCACAGAAACTAATCCTAGAAATAGCTAAACAAACCGAGTACGCCTTTCTCCTATTTTTATTCGCGCGTTAACCTTCCGTTTCGCCTTTGAAAAACTTTCTGTTTTCGTCTATTTCGTTCACGAGCAACTCGACGATTTTCCAATGTCAGCGGTTCTCAGTGACAGCCGTCGAACGTTTTGTTAACGTTGCAGAATCAAGGAGAGAGAGAGAAAGTATATTTGAAGAGTAAAACATAAGAGGGTAGTACAAGTTCCAAATATTTGAAATTCTCGAATAACTTTGTCTACATCGTGCCCAAAACATCCAAAGTTTTTTTAAATCCCTAACAACGTCCTTCGAAATATATCACTGAATGGTAATCATTTGTATACTGTATTCGATGCTTTTCTATCAGGTCCGGTTTAAAAATTTCTTTAGAAAATATACATATACATAAAGAATTACTAAGGAATTATTAATAAGGATAATTCTGACAGAAGAGGTATGCTCGACAAATGAGAATCAAACGATCCTTGACGACGCGTTCATAAACTGTAAAAGTTGGCAGGACCTTTTCTCTTGTCGAGATTTTCCAGTGAGTTATCAATTAATCGCTCGTACTTTGCGATCTATTGCCTTTTACGTGTTTCGTGCAACCACGTTAAAAATTACCGTACGTTTAATTTCCGTTGTTTGCAGACGAAAGAAGTATGGTGGTTGGCCGTTTAAGAGTACCATCGTGTTTCTTATCGCGTCCCCCATGCACCACGAAATTGCCAATATTCGATTTGTATTCTGCCGACAAACTCAAGAAGAATTGGCCGGTAAGAATGTTAATTATTTTTCACGAACATATATACTTACGAAATAACAAACGTATAAATACCCTTTAATAATAATAATAATTGGATCGAAATGTTAGTATTGGTCCGTAAACGTAAGAAATTGATCGTATTCAGAGGTTACTTATCGTATCGTGTACTTACATATTACGATTTCCAATAAGCGCGTCCCAACGCTTATCGTGCACTTTGAACGAATACATCCTTCGATTTACATTTACTCGAATACTGCGCTTATGTACGTTCGTATACATACACTCTGTATAGATGTCTCGTTCATCTCGGAAGATTTGTTTTACTCTGTAAAAGTTTTATCCAAGTTGTAACACGAGCGACTAAAAGCTCGCGTAAATACGGAACACATCGATTTAAATATTAAAGATAGATTAGCTACAGAGTAAAGTGCAAAAGGTAACTACGTTATTCCAAGTATATCGAGTATGTTCTTGGAAATGCGGAAGATAAGAAGGCTGACTAGTTGCACAATCTATCTACTGTACTAGCCAGATGTATATTCGAGCTTTCTACTCAAAAGCGTACGCCAGTTGGTCGTCCGTGTGCATTTGAAACGTACCTTTTTAGAGAAACTTTAAAAGTGCGCGTTGTTGAATTTATCCTCTTTGTCGAACGTGTGGTAATTGTAGCTAATTTGAATTTGCGACGAACATGATCCATGCTAAGCCAGAAAAAGGAAGGAGGAAACGAAAGGAGGCGCGTCTCGAGCCGATTGAAAGCGTGCGGTAGAATAGCCAAAGGAGAAACCCAGGAGGGTGGATTCGATTTTGTATCGGCCTGTAGAGGTACGCGGGGGCGGCACTCCCCGTTCCGGGAGGCCACCGAAGGATCAGGCTGAGCGTACAGAATCAACTAGGTGGCCACGTGGTGATCGATACTGTAAGCACAAGGCCATTGGATGAAAGACGAGGGGGGAGCCGGACGGACTTTTGGTGACGAGTATACGCTGCTGACTGGAACGCGTACACGTGAAAAAAATTGCACCGTGAAAGCTTTCAAAGTTTACTTATTTATACCACCCCCCCCCCCCCTTCCTTCTGCTTTACGTATTTGCTTGCAAACCCGTTGTATTAACTTTCGTAACACCTTACCGATACAGGACGATCGTAGAACTCGGAGAGGTCCGTAGATTCTTTCCGTACACGAACCTAGAACAAATTGCAACAGGGGCGGGGGATACTCGAGTTTTTTCGATAATGCTGAATCAGCCCTTTACGGTCTTGAGATTTTTAATTAATTAGCGTAAAATATATGTACGTCCTAACTGACGCGAGTATTAATCGAGATAAAAGCGCGATTCCGAATGTGATGTACACCAGCCGGCAGGGGCAATATTCTTGCTCGAGTTTATTTTTAAAGCAACGGAGGCGGTGCTTCCGAACCAAAGATACGAGAGAGGCTCGGCCGGCTCTTGTTCTTAAGCTTTAAGAATTTCTGCAGAGGTCAAATGTCGCGCGTGTTTTACAAATGACCTTCGCATAGGTGCAATTCGTGTCCCCGATCACGCCGTACTTCCGTTTCGCGAGTGAATTTCTATTAAACTAAGCTCGAATTCTTCCTCGTTCACGTTTATTTAGGTAGTTTGTGTAATATGTTTATTAACGTGGACGGACGGCGACGTAGTAACAGTTAACGATAAACCGAGACCCCAGGCTACCTGTGAAAACAGAGGAAGAATAACCTTGGCGTTCTTGGTAGCCAGCCGGCCGAGCCCAAACACATCAAAGATTTAAGCTCCATATCTCTTTACCCCGACGGTCGTCCTTTACCTGCGTACTTGCGCCGAGTGTCTCTTGGCTACCCTTCTTTCCTTCCGAGTCGGTCTCGGGTCAACTATTTATCAGCAGTCTGAAACAAGTTACCACGAATGTGCATTTCGACGATGCAGAAGGTACGGTACGCGGCGGGTCTGGACCTCGTATTCTGCTTCCGTTCACGTTTCTCCGTATAAATGTTTCAAAATAAAAGGACAAGATACCGCGTTTCTGTCCTGCTCGAGCAAACGAGTCTTCCTTTTCCTAAACAAATGCCGACCGATCACAGAACCCTTATTAACGCGACGTCGCCTCGCGTCCTGTCGCTATATTCTCCAAAGGGGTGTCGAACCATTAGTCATACGAGACGCACGGTGCATTGACTGACAGCGTCGAAATGTCGATGCTTGAATCGAGAACCGAGAATTTACGAGCTTTAGCAGCTTCGGTGGTTGAAATGCGAGACATGCAACCGATGTACTTTATTCGTTCAACCGTCTTTTCTCTCCTTTTGCTTTTCCTCCCCTTTTCCGAGAGAGGAGCTTGTCCAACTCGCTACATAATGCAGCCCTGCTATATTGAATGGTTCACGGCGGTAAAGTGATAAAGAAATCCGCGAAAAGCTCCCTAGACCGACGTTCGCGGAATATTAGGTGGCCTCGAATGTAGAATTCATTTTTTTCATCGAAAATCGAAAATTAAAGCATGCTCAATGGAACGAACGATTCAAAATCGAATCCACGGCGAATTATTTGGATCTGGCAAATAGAAATGCACGATAAATCGTGCGAACGAGGTGGCTAACCACCCTTATGAATTGCTCTACTTTTCCCTTAAACTAATAGCGTTCCGCAAACGGAGGTTACTTGCGATCAGTGATCCGCTCGAGTACGTAATGCAATTTTATGCCGAGTCAAAGTATCGATAAGTTGTGATAAAAATAACGATAACTCGATCGACCGATCAATCACCGAATCGTCGAATTTGGCACTACAGGAAACAGTGAATCGACCCTTTGGCAAACTCAACGTGCAAAGACGCGTAAACGTAATAGAATCTTCACTTACCTCTGAAATCATAATTCAAGCAGCAATAACATCCGGTCTGTATTTTCCATCGTGCGTGAAAGATGAATAAACAAACATCATTGTTCGCGATCGTAGGATCGCGTGATCGCGTTTCCGGTCACGATTGTTCCTCCCGTAGCGGATAGGTAAGAACGAAGGGTGAAAGATGGAAAGAAATCAAACCAGAGGAATCGTTTACGCGTGGACAAAGGAATATCTTTTCTTTGTTCGCCGTGTTTTTCACGGTCGTCGGTCGGCATCGGTGACCTGTATATTTTATTTTCCAGAGTAGAGCGCGATCTTCACGATACATCTCCGACCGAAACGCGAGAAAACTGTTACGCTTAATAAATTAATTTTCTTGTTTTGCCGTTTTTGGATCGCGGTGGTTCAGGGGATGAAGGTATAGATTGCGAGGCATAGGGTGAAACGAGCAGCGCGGAAGATGCGTGTAAATGTCCCTCGTTCCCCAGACTCGCGGCTTTGGGGTGAAAATATGCCCGGCTGTCTTCTCGTGTCGCTCAGCTATTACGCGATGGAGTACGATATACATAAAGGGCGGGGGTGGGGAGGGGGCGGGGATATACATATAAACACGCTCGGGAAACTTAAGCTATCGAATTACAAATATCGTTTTTCCGTCAGGCACATTAGATCTTCTGGTTCGATGACATTTTCTTCCCCCGCGAGCTGAGCTGGGAACGAGAGGTAAATCTAAATGGCATATTCTTGCTGCTATTTCTCCAGCTAGGATCAAGGAAAAGGATACAGCGAAATTTCTGGACTAGCTTTTCTCCCAGGTCGGCCGCAATTTAGCCGTCAGGGGCGTACATAACGCGTGCCCTTCGGGGGTCTCGTTATCGATTTCCTTCCTGACATTCCAGAAAGTCTGCCGGAATACAACCACGCAAGACGACTCTCCTCGGTTTCACGCTGCTTTATTTCCAATTATTCCTTCTTTCCACGGCATTTTGACCAAAGTTCAATTTTTATAAGTCGAATAACAACAGTTGGATGTAAATTGATATACGCTAGCTCTGTTCGAAACAACCATTTCGACACGATCTGACCTTTCGGCTGACCGTGATTGCCCCGATATCTGACATAGCAGTTTTTTAACGAGACGTCTGGCATAACGCTTCCGTGCACACAAAAGAACTCGTAGATTGCAATATCAAACTGTAGAAATACACGTATAGAATAA